AGAAGGTTTGTTCTCAGTCTTTCGTGGAGGCGTTTGATCGCTCGAGCGTCTTATGAAGCACATCCGAGTGTCGTATCAACACCGGCGCTGGAGAAAACAGATTTAGAAATGCTTTTGGTTGCTACTTTCAGTTAAATGTCTGTTTTTGACCTAAAAAGTGTATTTTTTTTTATTATTTATGCATTTAAGATAGAATTAGAGACTCTCAAAGTTCATATCATGAGACTCACTTTTACTAAATTTGTTTATTTATATAATAATCAAACATTTTTGTACTGTGTTTTTTAGGGATCTGTCAGTCGTCTGAGCATCAGCGACTGAAATAATGTCGCGGCGCAGATGGGGCTTAATAAAGACGCCGCGGTTATGAATGCATGAAGGAATAAATGCAGATATTACATGCAATCAAAGAGCACAGATTACACTTGATGACACGTCTGATATGAAATGTGATTGTTCCTTTTTAGGTTAAAAATCTGCTAAATGCATAAGTAAGTGCTACATTGACTGCTAATTTTTGCGACAGCTATTGATTTTTAAACACTAATTACCAGGTTTGAGACGTGGCTGAAATTTCACGTCTTGCTTCACAAACGCATGCAGAACAAACAGCTTATTTGTCACCGCTGACACAATCAATACATGTGCAACAGCAACAGCTCTGTCTCATTTAGACGAGGCGTTTCAGGAGCATTAGGACCGTGAGTTCAGACTGATAGTGCCATCAAACTGTGTTTTCTCGTTTCATTTTCCCAATCCTCCTGTCAGCAGTTCCCTGCGCGCTCGAGCGTGAAGCTCTCGACGTCTTCATTCAGACATCGCTTCTGTCTCGCCTATTAGCGCTGAATGTGGATCCTCAGATGCTCTCAAACACCAAACAGACGCTTTACGGGAAAACAAACACACACTGAGGTTTCCAGACGCTGGCAAGCTTTATTTCTGTAGTGCTTTATACAATACAGATGGTTTCAAATATGATGATGCAAATATGAGACGAATCTAAATTCTGCTGCTCTGAAAGACAACAATGTCATTTAATTTAGTGTCAGATTAAGAGTTGTGTGATATTATCTGTGTGGTCATCGTCTCTTTAAAGGTGCTGTTGTGAATCAGTAAGCGTATGGTGTCTCCAGATCCTGGCACGCGTCCCTTTCCTCCTCTTTGTCCCCCGTCGAGGCTCCATCTTTGCTGGATTGGACATTCGGCTCGCGTCCAGCAAGCTGTTTCTCTCCGAATGCTGTTTGAGAGAGAAGTGTTTGCAGGATTGATTTGGAGGGATGTTTGTGAGCGCAGCATCACTCCCACACGCCGCGATTTGACAGCTACCTTGTGCAACATGATTGTCAGAGTGTGTGTGTGTGTGTGTGAGACCGATGACAGCACACACACACACACACACCCCGGGGCTACAGATCTCATGAATATCAATCAGCTGCGGACATCAGCCTCTTAAATAATGCAGCAGCGGCGGCCGTTCGGCTGATAAATGCGCTTCATTGTCAGCGTGGAGTGTTTGCTTAGCTGCGCTCTTCGTTCCACACACGCTTTCATCTCGCGGAAAAAAACAGGCTGCTTTTCAAAGCGGTCCGAAAGTGCAAAACTCGCAGCCTTTTGTCTGAAAGCTGACGTATAATTTCAGCCCCTTTTGACTAGAATCTCGCTGGAGTTTGTGATCGTTAAAGCCATGGCAACTCGGAGCTCATTAAGGATTGTTTAGTAAGATTTCACCAGAAGCTGTTAGAATTATACGTGACCCTGCAGCACAAAAGCAGTCGTAAGTAGCACAGGTATATTTGTAGCAATAGCCAACAATACATTGTATGGGTCTAAATTTATGCCAAAAATATTTAGATTTTTTTGCACCCTCAGATTCCAGATTTTCAAATAGTTGTATCTCGGCCAAATATTGTTCTATCCTAACAAACCATACATCAATGGAAAGATTATTTATTCAGCTTTCAGATGATGTGTACATCTCAATTTCACAGAATTGACCCTTATGACTGGTTTTGTGCTCCAGGGTCACGTATGTAAAGTGTAAAAAATCTTGTATAATCATAACGGCTTTTTAAAAATGAGCTACTTTTGTTGTGTTTATGCAGCACTTGTATATTTTGTTTTGAAATGAAAATAGCCTGGGTTGCTGACATGGCATTAAAAACTGCACTACTACTAACGAGTTCCCCCATAATAACGTCTGACCCGTGTTCTGTGTCTGCAGGCTCCTGAAGGACATGAGCGCTGTGTCGGCAGTGATGGGGCCCCGGGGCCGCTGCAGGGGACATGGGCACATGCCACGCCACTGAAAGCCACCAGGGTTCGGTCTTCACGGCAGCGCGCAGCAGAACATCGGGTAACGCCGCTGCTCCTCTTCTGTTTATCGCCTGTGTTTCACGCATTATGAAAACAATGCTGATCGTTTTCCTGCATAAAATGACCCTCGTTACTGCAGTCAAACACCGATTTCGACGCTAATATTTGAGCTGGTGTTCATTAGGCGACAGGATGTCAGGAAACTGAAAACTAACTGCACTGGAATGAGTCCTGAATGTGTGTTTTGAATTTAACTTGCATTAGTTAAACACTAAAAATACTGGATTAAGGTAAGGCACTACAGGCAAAAACACCGGTTTTGTGTTTTTTTTTATTTTTTATGCATTGGTCAATTTTGGGCTATTTGGCTTTTCGTAACATGTTTATTTCAGACTAGTGGAAATAAAACATCCAGAATACACATTTCAATATTTATTTTATTGCACTTTATCTATTTGTGCCTGTAGATTTCAGTTCCAGTCCATATCTTTATAGTTTTTCTCCTCTCTGTATTCTGTAGGTTTGTTCATATTTCATTTATACAACATTTAATTCCTAAAAACATGGTGAAAATGTGTTTGTTTTCTGTCTGTTGACAGCATTTTCTGATTTATGATAAAAAGAGAAATCCAAAAGCCCCTCTGGAAAAACTTTTAACTCTAATATGACAACAAAACCAAACCAGCATTATGAAACTGACTTTATCCAATGTTCAGATGTATCTTCTGGAAATGTATGCAAATTAATGCATATTTAATTAGATAATGCCTCATTTGCATATTTAAATATAACATTTCAGAAAACTTTTAATACCAAAACAATTTTTTTTTGTTGCAATTTTTAATATAATCAATCAACCGGGGAAGTGTATATATATATTAGTTATTTATTTTATTTACTTCACCTGTGGTGTCTTGCCTTAATTGAAAACAAAGAATATTATTTCACAAGTGTACAATGTTGCTTCTAGGCAATTCCTCAAAACATGCAAATAATTCATATTTAATGAATTTTAAATTTAATGAAGTTTTTTCACTAACACATTTTGTTGATGGGTGAAAGATTATTAGAAATAGAAACGTGTGTGTGTGTGTGCGCAGCGAGAAGGTCTTAAAAAGCTTTCTGCTGGTTTCTGAGGTTTTTATTCCTCGTGGCTCTCGAATGCGTTCACAGGTTTCTCCACCATCTGGAGGATCGCTGTTAGAAATCTCACTCTGCGCTAGCGTGTTAATGAAAGTCTGAGATTGGTGTAATTCTCATTAGTTCAGGTTCTTGCGCGAGACACTCGGCTCATAATTGCTGGAGGTTAATTGGTTTGGGTTACAGCATTCATGTATAGCGTCTCCCTCGAGAACTCGGCCACGTCACGCAAGACGTCATGCTGTTTTATATAAGTTTATGCTATTTTAGAGCATACTGACGAAAGATGATGTGCAGCAGCTAATGGACCGTTTTCACATTTCCGTGTTTCTCAGCAGCAGAAGTCCTCATAGTTGGGTTAACTTCAGGAGCAGTGAATGGGAGAGTACCACAAATAGCAAAAGAAAAACTCCACGATAGTGTTTTCATGACTTTCAATAAAAGGAAAAAACTGATAACGGCAGTCAGAAGAGAGAACGATGTCAAATTTACCATCCCTCCCATAGCCGCTGCATTAGAAACACTCTCGCGTTAGCCGTAACTAGTGTTTTTGTAATTTGATGCAAAGGTGATATAATACAAAGAATAGTGTTATAAATGTACATGGGTCAAAGACGTTAAGAAGTCCGCATCAAAAGAAATTTACAAAAGTAGTACAGTTATGTCCATAGAAAGCACATTAAATGTAAGTAAAGTGTCGACTTTTAAAGTTTCAAATACATTTTTGAAGAATAAAATGTTACAATTTGGTTGAAATAATGTTACATTGTCATTCAGTGTAACACTTATATTTATGTAAAAATTCAAACAACATGCTTATTCTGACATGTACGTATTAAAATATATAAAAGAATAAGGGAGCATATTAAATTTTATTGGTTTTTAAATGAGTAAAAAAATTCTTACTGACAAATGGGCGAAACCTAGGATAGTGGCACATTTTAAAAATGTAAAATTACAACTAGTTAGTATTTGGGGTGAAAGTAATTAGTCTTTTAATATGTCATAAATTGATTTTTGTTGTAAATATGCCTGACAAGATTGTTACACTGAATGACATTTGACTGGGTATCTTCTGTAAATCAGGGGGAAATGTATCATATTTATTTTTTGCTCAGAAAAACAAAAACAAAAATACAATTACATTAAACAGAAAACTTTTTAATTTTTTTTTGAAAAACAACAATTTAAAGCAGTATTGTTTTTATGCTTAAACCCCTTAAACCCTTTTTCATCTTTGACCCACATATATACAGGTGCATCTCAATAAATTAGAATGTCGTGGAAAAGTTCATTT